AAACACCATGAGGCTTGTTCTTGTGGCAAACGAAACTTTCTCAAGTGGTTCCTTTGAAAATTCTGGAGTAGCCATGCAGGCTATTCTCGTGGGCAATAACGCTTAATGTAAATAAACTGCTAAAAGGCAAACATGCGAGAACGATTTGATTTCCACTTCCCAGGTGCAAACAATAGCTGTTAGATGCCAATCAACATGCAATTATCTAGTCTCCTCCGTGAAGCCGACACCGCCCACCATTGACAAGTGACAATATATCTTCAAGCTTCTCCATTCTGCCCCTCCTCCTGTTTATTATCACCTCTAGTCCTTAATATAAAAACTTATTTGATTTTTATTTTGGTCCTAAATATAATATCCCAATCCATTTTTTCTCTCATATTTATGTATTTTTTTTAAAGTAATCTTTCTAACAATGGTACTTCTAGCCAATACACTTGATTAGTAAGAATATTTTAGAAAAGACAACACTTGTTTATTACAAATAACTAACTTAACTTATTTTTTTAATCTTTTTAAATTAATCAACTAACTCTTATAATTGAGATCGGAGGTAGTATATCTGAACTTCTGAAGTACCATTCATATTACTTCTCCTACCTTATATTACCTACTTTTCTTGTACAGAAGAGGACCCTGTTTTGGTAATTTACCATATGATTTGTTTGTTCCCTTCGTTGCAAGAATGGGGAAACTGATTTGAGCTTCGGTCCGTGTCCTTGCTATTCTCGAATAATTTTGTTCCCTTCGGTGTTTTTCAGGTTTTAAGAGGAAAAAGTTTGTGAAGGAATATGAGGTACTAACTCTTTCCTCTCGCCTGGAGAAGCTATACAAGATGTCAAAAAAAAAAAATGTTGACCCTGGGGCTTGAACTTAACCGACTCAATCTATGTGTTATTTCTTTGCCTCATCTGCGACAGTACTAGAATAGAAACCTTACTACAGTGCGCAAGAAATCTGTCTCTGCCTTGGTGGATCGTGATCAGGAGAAAACTCCACCTGCTACTTGCGACATGTCTCCGAAGAAGAAGGAGAAGCTTATTTCAACTGCCATGAAGAGAACTAGTGAATGGTATGCTTCTGAATATTGATACTCAATTGACTATTCTTGGGTGTGTCTCCTGCCCATGCGTATAACTTGCTTCAGCAATGTGCATCTGCTGCTGTTTCGTAGATATAAGGAAATTTATCGAAACCCGCGTTTTTAAAACTTCTTGTAGGGTTTTCTCTCATGGGATTCCAAGTGATGTTACAGTTCAAGTTGCAGAGGCTTCCTTTTTCTTGCATAAGGTAGTAACTCTTCATCTGCATATACCGGACTCATTACTACGAGAGTCGTTAACATAGAGAAGGCAGAGTGTATCTTCCTTCTTCTCCACCATTTTTTCGATTACTTGCCTATAAATAGAACTTAAACTAAAAAGCAAGTATAATGATTATTGTTATTCTGTTCTTCAATTACGTTGAAATTTTTTCCTTATATTTCCTAATACGTACTTGCAGTTTCCATTAGCCTCTAAGTGTGGATACATAAGGAAACTGATCTCAGCATCTAATCATACTGATGCTTCCATCATTGAACTCCGTGATGTCCCTGGTGGGGCAGAAGCATTTGAACTGGCAGCGAAATTCTGTTACGGGATAAATTTTGAGATGAGCGTAGAAAACATTGCTATGCTTCGCTGTGTTGCAGAGTATCTTGAGATGACAGAGGATTACTCTGTTAGAAACCTGGTGGGAAGAACCGATGCTTACTTGAATGAAGTAGCACTTAAGACTCTTCCAGGGGCTGTGTCTGTATTACACAAATCAGAAAACCTTATTCCTATAGCAGAGAGAGCAAAACTGGTAAGCCGATGCATAGATGCCATTGCATATATGGCATGCGAGGAAAGCCAACTCTATACTTCTAGAGATGAGAGTGGCACAGAGGATATAATTTCTTCCATGGCATCTCATCAAAGGGACATAATCGATTGGTGGGCTGAGGATCTAACGGTTCTCAGAATAGACATTTTCCAGAGAGTACTCATTGCGATGATGGCCAGAGGGTTTGAACAGTTTGCTCTTGGTCCTATGCTGATGCTTTATGCGCAGAAATCTCTACGAGGTTCGGTGAGACCCCTCACTGAAAGGATCAGTATGTTTTGGATTATTTGGTTTAATGGATTGAGAACTTAACTCTTTTTCCCCCATCATCTCTCTCTTGCAGGAATTAATTGTGAAGGGAAGAAGATTGAGGCTGGAGAAGAGCACGAAAAGAGGGTTGTTTTAGAGACAATAGTGAGCCTTTTGCCAAGGGAAAAGAATGCAGTTTCGGTGAGCTTTATATCTACGCTGCTTCGGCAAGCTATATATCTGGAGACAACAGTTGCTTGCAGGCTTGATTTAGAGAAGAGGATGGCGATGCAGTTAGGACAGGCTGCTTTAGATGATCTTCTTATTCCTACTTATTCACTCACAGGAGACACATTGTTTGATGTGGATACAGTGCAGAGAATCTTGATGAAATACCATGAATCTGATGCAGGGAAAAACTTGGCCTCCAGTGCAGATAGCGAATACTTTTCTCCTCCACAAACTGACGTGGAGTGGGTGGGAAAGCTAATAGAGAACTATCTTGCTGAAATAGCCACTGACCGTAATTTACCAGTTACGAAATTCGTGAGCCTTGCTGAACTAATTCCCGAACAATCAAGGCCAGTAGAAGATGGGATCTATAGGGCCATAGACATCTATCTCAAGGTGCCGTCTTTATTAAACATCGATTTATTTTGTTAGTGTTCTACCTGGCTCAACATTAAATCTACTTTTTACGTAAAAAGGTAGATTCCTCTATGCCAAATTAATGTATTTACTATTTTATTCTCACAGTAGTGACTTGAATTGATGAGGAAAACTACTATTTATCAGTCAACCCCATTTGGGAAGTGACCATGCTGCTTATTTCTGAACTATCCGAATCAGAATTGGATATCAAGATTCCTGCCCATTATTTCAACTGTTTGGAATGCCTTTAAGAAGATTTTTTTCCTAGTTTATTTCTACATATTACAGTAGATCTGATAACAAACTCAAGGTTCTACTTGTTATGTGATTGTGGTAGATAAAATTCTAAACATGGTTGAATCAAATTACTGCTGATGAATTTGGAATTTGTTACAATTCTCAGGCTCATCCTGCTCTAAGTGACATGGAAAGGAAGAAAGTTTGCAGTGTCATGGACTGTCAGAAGCTATCTCGGGTGGCTTGCTCACATGCTGCTCAAAATGATCGTCTTCCTGTTCAAACTGTGGTTCAAGTTCTTTATTATGAACAGCAACGTCTTCGCGACGCCATGGAAGGCTCTCCTTCTGCACCTTCCAAGTTCAGTCTATACCCAGCTGATGCTGATCACTTTCCAAATGACGTCTCCAACTTAAAAAAGGAAAATAAGGAGCTAAAATCAGAACTTGTGAAATTGAGAATGAAACTAAGAGAGATTGACATGTCCACGCCAATGTCAGCAGTTAATAGTCCTGCTTCAAATGCTTCACCTTCTGCAGATAAGTTCCTTGTGCCTCGAAAATCTCTCATAAACTCTCTATCCAAAAAATTACTTACAAGGCTTTCTCCTTTTCTGCGAGCCAAAGATCAGACAAAATCCAGTAAAAATCGACGCCACTCTATATCTTAAAGACCATTGAAGAAATTAATGAGTGCCCGACAAGGAGCCAAATGCAGCTCATGAAAGTTGGCGTGTCAATGAATTTTGCCACTGCAACACCCATTTCATTGAGCTTTTATATTAGCTCTTTACCTTAAATGTATAGTAAGTGTGCTGAAGAATTTTATTCTGTGTGATGCTCCTGTAGATTATATCGCCACGGTTCTGTTCCTTTCATTCAGAACTGTATTGTAAAGGATTGTGTGAAATACGGTGGGATTTCTGGGTGATTACTTGAATTGCAGTTTCGCTGTTGAGAGACAATAATGGTCTAACGCCAGAATGATCCCGACAGTTGACATGGCAAGTGATATAGAGCGATCGTTATTACAGTTTTCCATGATGGTGGAAATATGATAGGAACACATTTGATTTCCTTATTAAGTCCACAAATATTTTAGCAGTTGATCGGTGACATGTGGGTCAAGATGTGCATTATAACAAGCCTAGATCTTCCAAAATATAAAAAGGACCACAAGTTCAATGAATACAAAATATGTGATTGATGACTAGTGGAACAGAAACTTAAATTATTGAGTCCTTCCGGATAAAAAGCTTTTCAGAAAGGTAAAAAAATAGTGGGAGTGACAGCCTAGCAGTACCCGTGAAGTGGTCAGAATTCAGAAAAGCAAAGAGATCAAGGTTTGGTTTCGATTCATGAATGTTCTAAAAGTATTGAAAATGTTGCAAGCAATGCACATTTTGGGACAGACCTTTGCTGAACTTGTTAAAAGCCTGTCGAGTATTTGCAAGGGAATCTACCGTACATCTGATGCAGACAGGAATTACGTCTTTAACTTCTTGTTGGCCAGTATGCTCATGAATCGTGGGAGGAAACTAAATTAGACTAGAGAAGAGAGCCAAAAATTAAATAAATATAAAATCCGATACCGACATAAAGTATTGATCTGGAAGTAAAAAGAATACTTTTATTAGATGTCCCCTATCTGAATGTTATCCCGTAGTGACAACTTCCGTCTGGATTCGTTGTTGATTTATTATCTAGAACTAAAACAGATTCCTTTGACTTTCACCTAGCGAAAGAAAAGCTTGCTCTGAAAGGCTGAACTGCAAGTATTGAAGGAATTTAAACGAGTTAAGAAATAGGATGTTGTCTTTGAAAGAGGGGGCTAAACTATTTCGAGGGATATAATAAACTCGTCGACAGGGCCGTCCGCCATAATCAATAAAAGGATCGTTTTCATAGCTTTAGTGGCAACAATTATGATCTAAAGTGGGACTAAAAGCTCTCGACAAAGGAAAAGTCAGTGGTATGTGAGTCAAAACCGTAATGGGTTGGAGCAAAAGCAAACCATTAATCATTATACAAGACTTCATCACACCCCCACCATACTAGATAACAAGGCAGAACATTCCACACAAACCATTCACAAAGTTGGCCTCAAACAGAAATTTAAATATATATATATATCATATCAATTGACCATAGATAAAAAATTTTAAACTCTCAAGTCATGTTCAAGCTCAAAACTTGAAAAAGCCACGGTGGCTGTTTTAATCTGTCTTGTCTTGATTGTTCTTCAAGATCAAAACTGTTTCTAATTCCTCTTTGACGGATTGAGTTTGAATCCGGCACCTGGACAAGGCCTAGTATGCCTCCGCTTAATTCTTCTCTTGTTGCATCACCGCAATGATGGGTCCTTGAACTTGTCTTGTTTATTTGACTGGATCCAGTAGAAGAAGAAGACAAGCTATGTCCAGAATCCGAAGTTCGCGGTGTCTCAAGTTTCTTCAAACGGTTGTAATTTGAAGGGCCTAGTGTCAGTTCAATCTCAGTCTCATCTACGATCTCTAGCACCCGATCATCATCTAATTCTTCAATGTGCTCTTCCGCAGGCCGTTCAAGATCAAATTTCAATTGAGGTTTGTTCCGTGTACCTTTTTTATGATCAGCATTTTGCGTTAAACCAATAGAAGTCTTGAAGCTCCATTGCCGTTGGCTTAGTTCATTGCCTCTGCTCTTCTCCAAATCTTTCATCAGCATCTTCTGGACCCGATACAACCGATGTAATTCATATAACTGAAAAAGATTGAGGATTCTCAGATTCTATTGATATTGCTTGTGAATAATAATCCAAACGAACAAAAAGAGAAGTACGTACCTGCTCTTTGAAAGTTTCTTCATGTTTTAGTATGGCAATCCTCATGTACTCTTTGTCGTATGGCAGAGCAAGCTTCTCCATCGGTGCTGTGCTTACCCTCTGCTTTTACGAGTGATAGTTTTACCCTCCTACCTCGGAAATTTGTGGTCAGACAAGAATCTTAACCGCATAGGGCTTCTAATAGTCCGCCTTTTTTATCACTATTACTCTGAAATGAGAAATAATTCAAGTTCGAATGTACTTGATGGATGAAAAGTTGTTTAAGGAGGAAAGAGGGTAGTGCGAGAAAAGCATTGCCATCATGGCCTTGAAAGACTAGCACAAAATGATGACATCAACTGCCTTTAAGTATAATTTGTCTGTTCCCTTGCTTGATCATCCCCTTCCCAAATTTTGGACCACAATTAAATGAATTACGAAAGAAAATATCTTCCGGCACTTCTCTCTGCTAAATTTTCCTACCATAACAATTCGACGTCATTATTCTTGCCATCCGTTTATCGTTTCATTTGTATACATCTCGATAGTCGATACAATTCTTACGTCGAAGGCAATACTTTCTCTTTCTACGTACCTACCAGTATAAAAAACTGCCTGAACAGTGCCATTTTGGCCGGCCATATATGGAAATTAAACCAATTGATATTTAGAATCCCTCACCCCATGAACCTTATTCACAGTGTCTGCATTCTAACGTTAATTCTTCTTTTTCTTCATACTCTGTCTAGCTATTTTTGGACAATTAGCTTAAATCACTGGCAATGCGACAACTAAAAGTTCTCAGAATAAAACAGGTTTCTCAGGATATACCTAGAATACTGCCCAGGTAAACCGTATTCTACGCACAAACTACCCTCACCCTATCAATTTCAAACGTCAATATATCGTCTTCAGTGATAACTGGGGAATCTAGGCAAGTTGCAATCTGGACTTTGGAGTCTCCTGCCCATACAAGTTATGCAAATTGCGAAAATCAACCATGTATTTTAGATGATTTGGCGATTTTGTGCGCAGGAGGGAAGAAGCAGGGGCCAGTCTGAAAAAATAACTTGTAAAACTCAAGAAAACAAAAATATTAAGAAGAGTAATATCGACATGAATGGGTATAAATTCACAAGAGCCTTTCCCGGACCAAACTTGAAACTCTAAATATGCAAGTCTACTGTATTTCAACACAAAACCAAGAAGTTTAATTGAGCCACTAACCTGTGCACCACAGGTTCAAGGAGTAGAGGATACCCCAATTTCGGTTCTCAACAAGAAGACAACGAATATTAAAAGGAGCTCTTCCAGGGAAAGACAACAAGTTCTTCCTCTCGCTTCAGCGTCACAGACAACTTTGTTTGAGACAGACTGCTGCTCTCACATTCCCCATCAGGGTCGTCAGGGTATGGTGTTGGAGAATTTATACACACACACACACAAGTGGAACTGCTGAAGAATTTAAAATGCTCTCCCAAAGACACTCACAGAAACCAAGCTACTGCATGAGGTCTGAGTTTGAGGCATGCCAAATAAATCCCAGTGCCTTGACCAATGCTAATCAAGTTTTGTGGACGGAATGCCACAGGTCCAGCAAAGCAGATGTATTAAATAAAACTATGAGAGGCGATAACAAGTACAGACATTATTCTATCTACTAGTAAACATTTATATTTTATATTAGCAATCCAGATATAATAAAGAGACCATGATAGCAAATACACCTATATCTGCTCAAGACAGAGAATCAAAGAAACAGCTTAGCCTGGTGAGGTGAATCACATGCACCTAGAAGTTCTGTCACAAGTTGTCTCAATTATTAATTGCACATCATATTATATTACAATATTATCAAAACATGCTTATTTGAAGGAGCTTAAGGTGTGATCTCCTTTGCTGTCGACAGACAGATCATGACCGTACGATAAGTGAGTTCCTTTGGTAACTGTCCAAACCGGCCACGAGGTCTCGAATCCAACTCTAAAGTTTTCAGTTTTCAACATAAACGGGACAAAACAAATGGGGTTATTTTATCATTTTGTATCACATTGATAAAGCAAGCGAAAAAATTAAGGATGTTTTGTGCCTATATAGAATAGGTGCAAATTGTTGTTTTATGGATTTTAGTATCACTCGCAAGAAGACCCAGAGCAATAATTTTAGCGCAGAACAGGCCATGTGTGATTAAATAATGTGAATATCAATTCAAAGGACAACGGGAAATATTGGACCACTGAAAACAAGAAAATGAGAGAGTGTCCTTTACACATAATTACAAACAGTTTGTGTGTAAAAGTATAATTCCCCCCGCTTTCACTTACATTGACCGTCAAAGAACCAGGGCCATCTGAAAGAACATGCATCTTGAAAACCTGAAATGAGATATTAGATTGAGACATTGACATTACTGGTTACACTAAAAACACTATTACATGGGTAATTAAGTAATTATTAGGCCAAAATACAGAATTACACATTAGATTACGCTCAACCTCGTCGTGATGACCGAAAGCTTTGCCAGGACGAATTTCTCTTTTTCCTCCCCCTCTCTCTAGCATCAGATTTTAAATTAGGATGCAAGAAAGTTAAAGAAACACAGAGAGAGAGAGAGAGAGAGAGAGAGAGAGAGAGAGAGAGGGACATGGAAGCACGCGTTGCCGGGGCTGGAAGGCGCATTCGCATGGGTCGGTGGGTCCTTTGAATTTACTGAAAAGGCTGATCTACGACTTGCGTTGTTACTGGCCCACTTGAATTGGATATTCCGATGAGTAATCTGGGCAAAATATATTAAATAATGGAGAATCGATGCGGGGAAAGTAATAGTGACGAAGCTTTCTTTAAATTTTCTAGTTTTCTTTTTGAATTTTCATCCAAATGCATGACATGTGAATTCTGTAATTCGCCATCATGTTTGTTGCCCGTCCCTAAAATCTTACTTTGCTCTCTCTTCTGGGTCTAATTCTTATGTTTAATGATATTGTCTTTTTTCCTTTTTGGGCCTGACAATGATAATGTCACTCCACGGTCAATCAGAGCAACATAAATGGTTTATATTATTTAGATGCACCCATGGAATATCAAATTACTGCGTTTAGATTCAAAAGAGACCTATGATGATCTGCAGTGTGTCAAACTCTCTCCGCGACTATGGACAATACCGCTCCCTATAGTTTAATTTTATATACAAGATAAGAACTGTTGGTAATTTTTATTTTTATTTTTTCAATGGAATGAAATTGAGGTGTTGTGTGATTCGCTTGTGACACTATAATAAGATACTAAAATAAAGAGAAATCAATATATAGTTAGTCACTGTCATAAGCCTTGATCCATAAAATATACAGAAAATGTGTCTAGTTAATTATAAGATGAAAAATTAACTTTGCTCTGTCAATTATTGTGACATGTGTGAGTTCTACAAGTTTAAGGGGCTAGTGGGAAAATAAATGGAGGAGCATCCAATTAATGCTGCAAAAAGTAGAAATTAAAACAAAATTTCTCCACCGTATTTGTCTGAGAACTATAAATTAATACAATATCGTAAAGCAAGCATGGTTTGATATTCTGACACTAAATTAATTCGTTATTGAATTATAGGGCACCAAATAAAAAATGATAAAATATTGTGGCATAGTAGTGTGTAATTTAGGCTGGATACATGCACCGGCACTGAGGTTCTTACATGATTATAATGAAATTGATTTTTAAAGCAATAACACATAGATCGCGTGGCAATAAATCTAAATCAATTCTACCAATGATATAGATATTAAGAACAATAATGATGATGACAAACACAAGAAACCTTTTAAAATTGTTTATCCTTTCGAGGAAAAAATCATAAAATTTTTAGTAGTTAGTGGGATCACTCGTGGTGCACAACACAGCTCTCTCTGGGTATCTTCTGCTTTTGAGATCGTGGATTATTATATATGCATTTTCCAGATTGCACTATCGGTGGTGGTTAGGACTTCCCTTTGACACACAAACAGGTCACACATAAAATAGATATGCTCCCCACATGCCTATATATATATATATATCGTATTTATAGATCCTATTAGGAGAAAAAAATTAGTGTTTGTAATTAAGGTGATCTGATAAAATAAATATTTCGTTTGAAATAGTTTATAAGCAACTCTTGATTTGTAAGATAGAAAGTAAATATGGATATATGTAAAACATGTTTATAAACATTTAAATAAGCGAACATAAATAAGCTGACATGTAACGGAACCCTGTGGTTGCTTCACCAAACCTGAAAACTTAACATCTCACGTTACCAGAACTGGTGATAACTTTGATCTTCATCTCTGCTTCTCCGACGAAACAAAAGAGAGAAACGCAGTAGTGAACGTGTAAGAAGTTATTGATGGCCTCTGAAGTTTCAAAGACCTAACAAACTGATCAAGCTCATTAAGTCATGGCAATGGGGTCCATAAACTCCAAGAGAATAAATATGATGTAAAAAGGATGGTCCCATATGATGTTTAGTGACCGCCCCACCAGAGTCGTTATCATTAGCAAGCAAACCCAAGAGAAGGAGGAGGGACATACAGTGAGGTAATAGCATCATCACCCATCAATCAGATGGGGTGAAAATGGTACACTTATTTGGACATATGCACTTTTAAGGGAGCTTGTACCTTACAGGTAAAACCTTTTTTTCTGAAGTTCCACATGCATATAGTTAATGTGGGTTCAATGCTATCATCCTTCACTGGTTGGATCGGTTCCCATGATCACTTCATATTCCTGTATGCGAGTTTATCTTTTTGCAGTATTCGACAGTGTTTTCGTACGAAGAGAGAGACAGAGAGTGGGGAGTTAACAGGATATGGTGCTCCCACCCCCTTAATCTAATCGTAAGGGACAAACACATTTGATTGACGTTAACGACACATGCCAGAGAGGGGGGGGGGGGAGCTCAAGTAGGGTCCCATATGGAACAAGGACACCTGTGTCCCTTCCCATTATTTGACTGCTCAACAGGATCCTGGGCCTCCACAGGCTCGTTCTCGAAATCAATGTCTTTGTTTTCTTCTCCATTTTTTGGTAACCGAATGGAATACGAAGTTAAATTATTTTATGCATTTATTTAATATTCAGTATTATAAATTAAATTTGAATGTTATTGAGCCCAACCAGAACTAGAACTTCCAGGATGATTCTTTTTAATCTATAAGTTTCGAGCTACCAGTCTTCTATTTAAAGAAACTGAAGCCCTTCAACTCTAACTACTTTTGCCCCCAGGAACCGTTGGTTTCAAGTCGAGTCTCAATGTCAAGGGGTGATTTTTGGCTTTTTTGAAGGAACACGCCGTTTTGTTTGTTTTTTTTTATTCGTCGGCGTCTATGAAACGCTAACGTATTTTGTTTTTCGGGCCCAACGAGAATCTCTTGTGTAGGTTGTAGGCTGTACCTGAGTAGCTGACAAGCTGGTTTTCTTTTTTTTTCAAAGCTGGGGTATTGTTTATGGGGGGAAATGGGGTATGTTGTTTGGAGCCCACAGCGTTATTGCAGGCTTCACCGGCAATGTAGGCTTTGGGTTTTTAGACCTCGAAATGGATTCAATGGGCCTAATAGTTAGAGCCCATATAATGTATAGCTGGTGGCTCCTGAAACAGTCCCTGTCCTTCCTTCCCCGTCCAGTCTCCGGCTATGAATTAAATTAGATTTAATTTAATATATTTTATATCTATATTTCATAAGGTTAAAACACTATCGGATACTAAATATGTACATTATATTAATAGAGATTTAAACTTAGTTTGCCATATTTTGAATGACTAATTCTTTTTTAGACTCATCGCACTTATTGTTGAGTTTTTCTTTTTATTGGCCTATCAAGCGTGGATGTAGAAGTACACATGTTGAGGTTTGCCTAATGAAGAAAGTTAAAATTTAAAAAACAACGCAAAACATTTGGTAAAACGCTCAAGTTTAAAATGCGTTGAATTACGCAAAAAAAAAAAAGGACACGATCAGTTGTAACTGGGAACTCAGCCGAACTTACAAGATTCATTGTATCAAAACATCTAACCAATAGGGGATGAATTAAAGAGCTAGTCTTCCATGGTACAATAAAATCAGAGTTCGAATTTTTGCTAAAACATATATCCACATTTAGTACATTGTTTTGAGTAAGATTGTCACTAATAAAAAGATATATGTGCCAAACAAAAAAAAAATGTCGTCAGGCTTCAAAACTTGCAAGAAAGGGTGGGAGGCAAAGAACTTAAAGTGAGGTGTGCTGGACACTGCTTCGGTGTTCACGTGCTATTATGCTGGCTTTGCACCTGCAGCATCCGGCATTTTCTACAGCTATATGGTGAACCAGATCGAACAGACACTTTCATATTATCATACATTCAATCAAATAACATGTTTATGTTCTTTTTTTACATTGAATGAAAAAAAAAAGGTACAATTATTGTGAAGACTTTAATACTACCTTCAGTCCTAATTATAAGACCCAGTTGACTAATTTAGGGAGATTAAAAAATTTAGTTAAGTTAATTATTTGTAATGAATAGATGTTGTTTTCCTAAAATATCTTTACTAATCAAGTTTATTATTTATAACTATTATTATTATAAGGACTGTCTTGAAAAAAATAAGTAAATATGAGAGACAAAATAGATTAGAGTCTTATATTTAGAATCGAAATAAAAATCAAACAATATCTTATATTAAAAAAACAGAAGTAATATAATGGTTTTCGTCAACCTATTCGACGACAATATCAGATGCCCAATACTATAGCTGGCAATAACGGTTAATTATGGATATCTCGTTATCAAATAATAGTAAATGTTCAGAACCACTAAAATGATAAGACTACGAATATTGTCTTCTTTCACAAGTCATTGAACTTAATTAAATGATCCTCATCCGGTTCCTTTTCCCTCTTATTTAATGAGCAACTTCAAAAGTCCAAAAGCCCTTTTCAATCATTGTTTCTATGCAAGGTACATCCTATCTAGTTTCCCCTCTCTCCCTTCTGGACAAGTTTCTGTCTAATCCAATTATTTGTTAAATCAATAAATTCAATAATGCTATAGTTGTAACTTGCAAGCAATTAGATGTAATTCATAGGAAAAACTAAAATTAGAATAAGATGAGTTGATATTTCTGATTAAGAACCACTACTATTTTGTCTGTATTTTATTTTCTTCCCCGTCATCTCTACAGCTCCTTCCATCAGCAAGTCAATCGTTCGCCATAACGGGCCATCTCTTTATGGTACAAAGGTACCGAAGAAAGAGAGATAATTATTACATCGGGCAATTATTTGTCTTTGGAAATGAAGGAAACATTAGCACTTCGACTGGCAGTTCGCATTTTACTTACACGGGGCAATACTTAAATATAAGGCAAAGCATTTTGTTCTAACGGTGCAATTAACTAAGTTTTTATAAAATATTTTTAGCTGGGAGTGTAATTAATAGATTTTTCTAATTGAGATAATCCCTCAATTAAGGTAAATAGGAAAAAAATGCATAATTTTAGAGAATTAGTTTCGGTAGACAATGGTAAGTATTTTTGTGCTCATCATTATGATGAGATGACACCATTCAAATGTAATTTTGATGGTTTAAATTTAAAATTTTTAACTGATAATCTTCAAATTCAAAAATATTTTTGAAAAAAATTAGAATCCCATCACAATAAAAGAAATTAAAAATAAAATTATAAAAAGATAAATCTGAATTGTCTAAATTTGATAAGCACCATGATATTCATGACTCTGATAAACACTAAAATTGGTTTCATAATTTTAAAGGCTATTAACTCACTTATTAGGGTTTAAATTAGCTTCCTCTCATCCACTATGTAAGCCTGGCTTACGTAGAAATATTAGTTAAAAGGTAGTTATGACATTAAATAGGTAAAAGATTTGTAAAGCTTTTTAAACATGACTTGACAAAAGTCAGTAGTATATTAATTATAATGAATTAATTACTTATAAAGTTTAATTATATAGAGAGAAGCGAAATAAAAAAAAAGTAATTAAACTTTATATCGTGAACTGGCCACCGTAAGAGACTGTTGAAAAATGAAACAAGAACACTGTAACGGCCATATAATCGCAAGTTTAAGGTTAATTCTGCTTGCATACGGATAGAGACTACGTGAGTGTGTCATTTTTGTTTGCATATTAATTAGTTACATATATTCAATAATCAGAATATGCCACGCGACCTCATGATGAAGACCTGGATGCAGGAATCCAAATCACGTTCGAAACTGAGCCGATTGGGAGTTTATGCAAATTGCAAATAAATAAATGAATGCTAATTACTTTCTTTGTTGCGACATTATTATCGATATAATCGAAGCTTTCCAGACACTAGACGTTGCTAGATTCGATAATTTACTCCGTTCACGAGGTTATTGTGAGAATTTCTTACGACTTGATTTGAGTAAAAGCAAAATAGACAGAGAGAATATTAGAAAATTTTCTTAAAATAGTAAAAGATTTTACTCCTCCGGTCCTAATTATAAGACCCAATTAACTTATTTGAGGAGATAAAGAAGTAAGTTAAGTTGGTTATTTATAATAAATAGTGTGTCATTCCTAAAATATCCTTGCTAATTAAGTATATTGGCTAAAACTATCATTATTAGAAGGATTATCTTGGAAAAAAATGTATAAAATAAGTAACAAAATGGATTGGGGTCTTATATTAGGACCAAATAAAAAGTCAAATGGGGTCTTATAATAAGGACCGGAGGAGTACCATTTTTCCTTATTTTTTTCCGTCCTGTTCAAACTAATTAAGAATACGTGTTTCCTATTAATGCTACATGCCTTCATCTAAAACATTAATTTTTTTTTTACCTAATATTCTTAACTAATCAAGTTAGTATAAAATTTTCTAACTAATCAATCAAACTCATCTAATTTATAAGTTCTCACAGAAGATAATTTTGAAATTTTCTAAGAAATAACTAATTTTAAACAACACTGTTAACTTAATGTAAAGCAGTTAATTATAATCATAGCTTATAAAAGGGTTTAGAGAAAGTAATACATTAAAACTGTTTTTTCTTCCCCTTAGTTTACGTCAACAAATAAACTTCCATGTATTTATAATATGCAAGGGCAAGTAAGCTAGCGACATCTTCCCTTCATGCCCCACATCAGATAAGAACTGGGCACCTAACGGTGTGCTCTCAAGCTGTCATGTTTGAGCGTAGAAAATTCTCCGAGAAAATTAAAGGAAGAAAGGAAAGGCAACCTCAGAGTGGAATTATAGTATTATATTAAGATGACGTGCATGAACATGCTTTTGTTTTCGCAGCAATCACTCGTGTCATGGCCCATACGGAGGCTGTCATTTTTGAATCACTGTTCTGCTCTTAAAGATCGAGTGATCGGCCATAGGCCAGCTTTTAATTTGTGTTAACTAGGAAGTAGAATCTTCTTCTGCCTAATCCTAATTCATTCCTTTCACTCTTTGAATCGCTACAGCTAGCTCGCACACTTGACTTGACTTGTCCAGTGTCCTTGTCTTTTTCACCAGTCACGTTCGGTTTCTTACTATGTGCTTTTTGAGTTTTGAAAGCCAATATTAATTCTTCTTGCAAGCAAGAGCTCCACGTGCCGTGCTCAATTATTTTTGAGTCATCCCTCATGACCCTAATAATTATAAAAAAAAAAAAACTTGAATAGTTTACAATGTGGATTTGAAGTAAACAATCACCGACACTGGTTACCCACATCATGCATCTCTATTATTCAGACACCATGCTTATCTGATTAACCAATTAATTATTTATTATTTATGAGTATTATATAAATTATTCTCCTGGACAAAATATTATTCTTAATTACTTACGGGTACGTGCTTACATTAACAAATTGTATTAGGAAACGCGCTCAACGGTAACAATTACCAGATAAAAATGACGAGGTGAATTTTAATATCAGAATTTTAGTCCCCACTGTTTTGTCCTTAGGCGGCAAAAAGCAATAGGAATTTTAACTTATCTTCTGTCTCGGTTCGTAAATTAAAATTCCACGAATTATAAATTTTTAGCTGACCAAAATACAAGAGGAGAAGTGCAATAATTAAAAGTGGAGTCCCGAGGCCAAAAGCATGAGTGTCGTGAAATATATGGCATGGACCAGTGCCTCAAACAGTCAAACTAACTTGTCTCCTGTGACTTAAACGTGAAGAGATGATTTCTCCATACAAAATTTAGGTAGCCTAGTTGTGCCATGTTTTCCCAGAAATTAACAGAAAAAATCATTGCGACGGGGAATCTTTCACAGAAACTAGACAGTCAATTGTTTGGGACAGAAATTACTTATTTCTGAACTAAGAATTGTCATCATCTCCATTTATAAAATGTGTTTAAGCCCAGCGTGTATATTTGGGGGCCAATTTAATAGAAAACACCATTTTCACGAGGAGGGCTCGAACAACCAAACTGGAAAGTACTGACCTTTTCTTGAGCTAGTGCTGGCAAAGGCCAAAGGAAGTAACCTTAACGTGCGTGGCACTCTAAATTCTTGTTGTGCTCAGTTTTAGCAGCCTCTTTCTTTTTCTCGCTCTGGATGTTTAGAACTTTTTTTCCAACCCTTTGGTCCGCCATTTTTGGTGTTTTGGATTTTAAGCTCTAAGCAGGCCCCTCCCTGATCGTAAAAACCGCACAGCATATGGAGGTTTTATCAGATGACCGTATATAAATAAATAATTGTGAGTTTGGGACCGAGTCTGCCATTGAAAGAGCCAGCCTAAGCAGTGTCACTTTCTATGCCCACCATTCTCCTATCATTATTTTCATTATTCAGAGAATTAAAGCTCACTTTCTTGCTGTTAAAAAACTAAAAAGTTTAAAAGATTCTGATACAAGTGGCTCGTGATCACGACAACTTGATTGCCTCGTACCTCAATATATACCCCTCGTGCTTTTCCCCTTAAGCATATCATTCACTCCTAACTTTGCAACCAAAGCCCTCTTCTTCCTCCTCCTCCCACTCCATAAACTGCAAATGGGTCGTCTCATACTCTTGTTGTCACTCTCATTGAGTCTCTGTCTGTTCCCATATTCCACTTCTGCTCAACTGAGCAAAAACCATTATGCCAAGACCTGTCCCAATCTCGAGAGCATCGTGAGAACAGTTGTACGAAACAAGTTTCAGCAGACATTTGTTACAGTCCCCGCCACCCTTCGTCTCTTCTTCCACGATTGCTTTGTCCAGGTAAACCAGCATCAGCGAATTTCCTACCTTGGATTTGCTATAATATAATGATGCTAGCTAGCTAGAAATACTTAATACAAGTAACAGGATCCCTTTGATTTATACATAATGCTTAAATTGGAATTCGAATTCCATGCATTACAGGGTTGTGATGCCTCGGTATTGGTAGCATCGACAGGGAACAACAAAGCAGAGAAGGATCATCCTGACAATCTGTCACTGGCGGGTGATGGGTTTGACACAGTGATCAAGGCAAAAGCGGCAGTGGATGCTGTTCCTCAGTGCAGAAACAAAGTCTCTTGTGCTGATATTTTGGCTCTGGCTACACGTGAAGTGGTCTCACTGGTTGGTATCAGTTCAGCTGGGTCGGATTATATTTGTGTGGTTACGGAGTATAGATAAAGGGATTAATTGATGAATTTGAATTATTGTGCAGGCTGGAGGACCATTCTATGAAGTTGAATTGGGAAGATTTGATGGGCTTGTCTCCAGGGCTTCCGATGTGAACGGCAGGCTGCCTCAGCCTAACTTCAATCTGAACCAGCTCAATTCACTCTTTGCCTCTCACGGCCTCACCCAAACCGACATGATTGCCCTGTCAGGTAATTAAATTATAGTCTTTTCCTGTTTCTTCAATTTCAAAACATACGGGATATAAATTCTTCTCCCGAAAAAAAAAATTGAAGTTTGAAATTTGGAATGCAATTCCATTGGACGGATGAAGGTAGTATTCCCAAAATAACAGAGCAAGATGAGATTCGAAGTTTTTGAGGTGCATGCACGTGCAAAGCAGCGTTAATTTTGTTGGGTTTTAATTTGGCTAGTACTGTAATTGGCAATAATCTAAGAACAAAGGTGGTAATTAACTTGCAGGAGCACACACCCTTGGATTCTCGCATTGCAACAGGTTCTCCAACAGAATCTACAGCTTCAGCCCAAAGAGCCTAGTGGATCCTACGTTGAACAGACAGTACGCGAGCCAGCTCCAAGGGATGTGTCCGAGGAACGTGGATCCAAGGATAGCCATCAACATGGACCCCACCACCCCGCGAACATTTGACAATGTCTATTACAAGAATCTGCAGCAAGGGAAAGGCCTCTTCACCTCCGACCAAATCCTCTTCTCCGACCCAAGGTCCAGGTCTACCGTCAATTCTTTTGCCTCCAATAAGAATGTCTTCAACGCCAATTTCGCCGCTGCCATGACCAAGCTGGGTCGCGTCGGAGTCAAGACAGCAAGGAACGGCAAAATTCGTGCCGATTGCTCTGTGCTCTGATTCTCCAGAAACAAACTGGACAGGATTTCACGTGGGAGCGTCACTTGAGAACGACGATGCAACGGCAAACACATTTGTTTTTTAATAAAACTTGCTCAAGAATAATAAATAAAGAAAATGGACGAATCTTTCGTTGTACATGTGGAGTTCTGATGTTTAATTTAGATTTTATTTGTATATTTTAAGACGTTTCCTTCAGTCATTGCCTTGAGATCAATCAGTGAAGCGGCACATTTCTTTAGCTCGTAGTCCCCCTTCCGTCTTTATCTGGTAGAATTATTCAGATATTATAGAAGACAACTTGAACTGCAAGTTACCATAATGAAGTAATTATTTAGGCAATCAAGCAGATATAGTATGTCGGATCACAAGATAAAACTGATAACCAGGTTGGCAAGTTTTCCTTTACAGTGAAGCCGCCCCCTTTTGCATTGTATGACACTAAAGCGGTGCAAATTATGCAAATTCATCGGGCAAGTCAATAAAGTAAGCTTTATTTAACTTTGATCAAAGCGAGTAGTTAGCTGGGAAATTTATTCTTCCACATATTCTAAAGTCACATTCTACTTTTTGCCTGAGAGTATAAAGGGGACTAGAGCGGAAGTTCAAATACAAAAGTAAGATGATAGCACCTAAGTGTGGATACATCATCTACCGATTCTTCGCACCCTTTTGCAGCTTAGAAGGAGATGTTATCTAATCAGTACAAGGCCCTTAGAAATGCCAATCAGAGGCAATCTAACGAGAAAGAAGTATTAAAACACGGTAACAAACTTCAAACCCAGGCTCTCCTCAGTTCAAACAAAACCCCATTACCTAGATTGATGCATGATTCTTGTCGCTCATCATTTTTTACTAAAATTCCTGTCACTCATCTCACACCTCTAACAATGTTAAATTTAAATTAACCTTCAACATTCTCAGTTGAAAAGAAAAAAAAGAACGAAAGTTAAACGAGTGTCTGGATGTCAGCATGGCCATACCTTTTTTGTTTGTCACTTGGTGCTTGCTATAAATACTGTCTCATTATATGAAATTTAATGATCGTGCATAACTGTTTACATCATCCCCCCCCCCCAAAAAAAAACCACAATAAACAATAAAATGCGCTGAATGAGGCTTCATATCAGAATACGCAATCTTATTCTTAATTTTCTTTTCAACTGGGGCAAACTATAAACGCTTGAAGATCATATTTTTTTTAGTAGGTTTCAAGTTTGATAGGGCACCGCTTAGCAGTACTTTCCACGTCATCTATCCCGCAATGTGCGCTGCTTTCTAGCTACGACATAGTTTATTCTGGTACCGTAATTTGTTACAACAATTTCTACTGTATTTACAATACACGCGTCCCCATGACCGTTTTCTTCTCCATAAAACAGAGCTTGTAATCTGTAATATTTTTTTTGGGAGTACATTGTAATCTGTAATAATTGAATGAATGAAATATTCTGTTGCTCTTGCTCCCCTCTACTCTGCTAATGTTTTGAAACTTTCTGAACCATATGATAAAGTGAGATTTAGACCCTACAGAAAGACTCATTTTTATAACCAACTGGCATTCCATCACGATCAAATTGAAGGAGACAGCTGTTCCATAGGCTCAACCATCATCACTATGTCAAATTGCAGCAGCGAGTAAACTCCATACCTAAACGTCTATTTATATTACCATTCGAGAAGAATTTGCTGATATGAATATTTTCGTCCTCCCCCCTCCCCCCTTTTTCTCTTCCAGTTGAGTATCAAGAGATTGAACAGTCTAAAACTGAGACAAAGACCAGGAGTTTAATGGTCGAACATGATCCCATTGCATGAACTGAAAATGTGCTAACAGGATGACAGCTCCATGCTGGACTCTGATTCCGGAGAGAACTTCACATAAGCAGGCGGATAGAATCCAACACAAACACATCCCTTGCCATGGGAAATGACGCTATAAAACGAAACAATGATCCCATAACACTCGGGGCTGATAAACACAAGTACAGAACTTTGGCTCTGAATTCTGAAATAAGCTTTGTTATTAATGAAAAGATGAACAAATCATGAAAGATATTAATAAAAGAGAATCTATCTGTTAAGTAAAGTGGATTCTTACACGTGTTAAACTAAAATAGTCAGCAGTGGAATGCTATCAGAAGCAAAAAAAAAAATATATCAGCAGTGAAATCTGTACAGAATATATTTCCGCCCGCCAGGCAATCTGTTTTCTGCTCACTCTTCTGATTCTCGCAAGCAAACCTTCTCAAAATGTAGCGGCCAATCTTCTCCAAGTATAACAGGATTCAACTCTAATGCCGTCCGAAAATCAGAAATAGATGCAGAAACAGTCTCACTTGGCTTTTGCACATATCTACTATTTGACCACCCATTCAAACCAGGTTGGATTTGAGCGCTAATTTCATCAACTGATTTTGAAACGACTGAGTCCAAACAGGGTTTTATCAACCTTTTGAGGTAAACATCAATAGCATTATTCAATAAGTTGGCAGAATCCTCCGAGATTTTAACTCCCTCCATTTCCAACTTATGCTCCAACCTTTTCATCAGGGAACTGGTATCAGGAAGCTGACCGCTGTTTTGACAGGTGCTCGAGACAGAAGAACATGCTGATACATTAAAGAAAGCTTTTCGCGCCCTTCTTTCGTTTGTGGGAATTCCAAGAGGAGCTGTAATAGGAATCCTACTATAATTGCTTGGGCTTCCAGAATATTGATTAACCTCCTCCTCATCATCTGCAGAGAGAGGAGGCAAGCTACCTAAAGAATATAGATCGGAAGTACTTTGCTGCTCATGAATTTTAAGGGCAAAATCTTCACACACAATACTATGGTTCTTCTCCAGAGGACCATGAGGGCTTGAATGATCCTTGAATCTGCAGTCACGAGAAATTGGTGCCCTCTTTTTTCGAGGAGATTGTAGCAACTCCCTGCATAGTGACTGAAGATCGCTCTTTTGATTCCCATTTGGAATTTTAACACTCAGTGAGCCTTCTACTTTGCCATTTCTTGTTGGGGGTAACTGGGAAAGGCATGCGTTTTTAATGATTGACCTGATCAGTTGATTATGGAGACGGATATTTTCTCTCCCAATAATTGCTACGCAGAGCTTATTAAATTTATACTTACTAATCTTGGATGAAAGGAATCTTGTGAGAAGATTAAAATACTCGCATGCTTTCACACTTCCAAGCCTTCTTTCAAACTGCAATTTCTGTTCTAACGTATCCACGGGAGTAAAACACTTCACTGCTGTCATCCTGAGGCCAGAAATTGTCCTACGATCAGAATTAAAACATCATCAGATAAGAGGGAAATCATTGACCCCCATATAGCTTCTAGTTAACTGCTCATTAACTCATTCCCAAACTCAAAGCCCTAATGTATGTTTTTAGCAAATTAATTCCAGCGACAGCACTCAGCCATGACAACTGATATTCACCCAAACACTAAATTCTGACGAGGGGGCAGAGCAAAAACACATACCGATAAGCTAAAGGAAAAGGATTGTCGTAACATATTTCCAGTGCCCATCATCAAACCACATAACTAAGGTGATCAAAGATCAAAACGGACGAAGATCTATCTCGAAGAAGTGCACTACTGGAACAGTAGACTAGTTAAACAGAATAAATGAAACTGAGCAGAATTTCACACCAAAATAGGGGTTCAATACTTCAAATCGATAGTTGGAGAAGTAGAATTAACTCCGGTGGTAGGACTGGTCAAGAAAAGGAAACCACAAAACGGAATTCAGACATTGAGATAAAAATAGAAAGCGAGGCGAAGAACTGAGCGACAAACCTGAATAAGTGGATTGGGTAAGAAACTTCCAAATTACAATCGTCGCTGCAATTCTTCGATCACTGCACTACTTGCCCGGTTGAAAAGCGCGAGACAGGAAGAAAGATTAGGGCTTGTAGGCAGAGGGCCACCTTTTCGATTCGAAGCTTCTTCGGTCGGAAGGGTCAAAGCCACGTGCGTTTTCAAAGGAGTAATGTAAGATGGTGCCAAGAAGGATTGGTGTGCTAATCATAGCAGAGAGCTTCAAATTACGACCAACTGAATTCACACGTACTCAAGCCACCACTTCGGAATTGGGCCGGCAAGCCGTCATATTTTAACTCAAAGTCAAACTAAAGTCAAAGTGTCAGCTTATGAACAGGTATGGCTGTGGGGGGCGTTCGCCCGCTGCTTCGGGTTTTCAGTGCCGTACGAATCGGAAGTCCGACCCGGAGAGCACGATTACTCGAACCTGGTGTTTTCTTGGGCCAATTCTCGAGCCTGTTTAGCATTATCAATGGTTATGACAAGCCCGTTTGCAAAATAGTTCCCTGCCCAGGATAACGGCTCAACCAGTCATTAAATTAGTCTCCGGTAATATTTTAAACAGAATGGTCTTTAACCAAAAAATAAATACATAAATAAATGACATCAACAACATATGACGAAAATATGTTTAAACTCATATTTCCTGAAGAAAAAATAATACAATTCACGGAAGAAACAAAATATAGGCATGACATGTAATCATCGTAATAAAAACTTGTAAACATAATGTCAAAAACTTATGCACATTGACGTCAAGATTCTAATCCACATAAAAATACTATTACAAAGAACAATCTATAGCAAGTAAAATTCTTTTCCAACCGTTGGCCATGCTAGCACTTGAAATTGAAAAATTAGGACAGAAATTGGATACAAAAAGTTAAAATTAATTTTTTTTTCTTTAAACACAAAAAAAAATTGTCATTTGTGTGTGTATATTTACTTCCCTTCCAGGGGGGGAAGCCATGCGGACAAACCTCAGCAATTGATCATGTTTTTAAATAATTTTTTCTCGACTTCATTACGCAATCAAAACATGAAATATTAAGATGTGAAGAGTATGGGTAAATCTCGTATTAGATATAGTTAGGCTTAATAATAAATATAAATAAATATGTGATGATTCCCAAATAAATTCGAGTCGTAGCAATTCACCGCGTTGTGTTGAATTTATCGCTGTAACTTCATTTTTTGAACCAACGTTTTCTCCCTGCTTTGCTCGATTTGTTGATTTATACACACCACGCATCAATTTGCAACAGCAGATAGATTTCACTCTAGTCAGCGATATGATCTCAGGAAACTTTCAAATCGTTTTCATCCACATTATTCCGTGCAGCTTTGCTTGATTAATCTGAATGAATATAATACTATCTATGGTCCTAATTATAAAATCTTATTTATAAATTATAAATAATGTCTTATAATTAAAACTGGAGATAATATCATTTTGATTCATTATATTGTAACAACACCATCTATCATACTTGAATGTGTTTTTAGATTCAAACTTGTTATTGACATATTTATTTGCACATTTGTTTAATCTGTCTATTAATATATAAAAGTACAGTACAAGGCATGAGTATCTAACAGCGCGACAAGTGGCATCACTAAAGATCAGATAAATGTTCTTTTCTTTTTTAAAAAAAAAGCCATATTTTTTTACTCATGTTTCTACCCACGTTTTCACCAACTGTTTATTATTTGAGAGAATTTTCCGGACAACATGTCATGATTTTTTTTAAGATATGAATGATTATCCAAATTATTTTATATTATCCAAAAACACTTTGAAAGTTTGAATTTGGAATTTAAAACACGATTATGCCACTTAAAATTTAAATTGGCCACTTAATAATTAAATTGATTTATAAATGAATAAATTATAGGAAGAAGTATATTCCCAAAATATGGAAACGTGTGGCAATTTTTAATTATATATTTATCGGATAGTTAGTTTAGTTTAAACGTTTTTTCTAGGATATGAACGAGTATTCAAATTATCTTATATTATTTAAAGGCACTTTGAAAGTTTGTATTTGGAATGTAAAGCGACTTAAAATTTAAATTGGCCACTTAATTATTAAATTGATTTATAAATAGATAAATTATAGGAAGAAGTATATTTACAAAATCTAGAAACATGGGCAATTTTTTCATATAATTGTATCTTGTATAACTTACTAACAGACTATCACTTGGCTTCACCAGAGTGTAGATAAATGGGTTTTTTTTTTTTCTAAAGCCAAAATTTTATATCCAACTCCCTATTTATGTGTTATTCACTACCATAATACATGTTCCTCCTTATTCACACTACCCATCTCTTTTTGTGGTAGAATCAGTTAGTTACCTCTCATAATACAGTATTTTTTATTTAAATGGTTTTAGTTGAATTATTGGGATGTACTATTTATTTATATTTTAGTTGAATTGTTTGCAGATAAATTTTTTACTTTTGTTAAAGCCACATTTTTACCTATGATCTCTCTATTTATGCGTTTTTCTTGGGAATTAGTTCGATCATATTTATTTGAGTGCACGTTTCATGTCTTTCTATTTATTTTTGCAACATAATGATTTTTGTTAATGGTAGATAAATCTACTTTTTTTATAATTTTTTGATTAATTCAATTAATTCCGATTTATTACAGAATTTATGGCAATTATCTCTAATAATGAGCCTTATTTTTTCTATTTTTTGTAAAAAACAAAATACCCTTTATATGCAAATATTTTAAATTAAGAAAAATAAATAAAATTATATAACTTCTCTTATCTTGAAAATCGTGGTATATATGTGAGGCATGATGTATGTTCAAAATTTGAAATTTGATGGTATTATTTAAAATTAATTATGCTTGAAATTTAATTTCAGCTGGTTTATTAGTATATTGAAAATAATATCCTACGCCCTAAATCTAAACTATTATTTATACCTGAAATATTTATTATTTTTTATTTATGAATTATTTTGAAATATAATTCAAAATATTTTAACTCACTAATGATTTTGTCTCCATTGATTTTTTTTTGTATTAAATAGCCTATTTTTACAATACAGAATCAGATATCATATTTGTCCAATATAATATTACTAACCATGACATTATCTGTGTAATTATTGAATATAATCAAATGTTTGAGTTTCAATCCATTAACCCTTTTGTCTCCATTAATTCAATCTTTTTAAAGGAACATCCATTTATATACCTGCATATATAGCATATTTCTTAAAATGTTGATAATGGATCTACTTGTACTGTAGATTTCAAAAGCTTAATAATATTTTATTTTAAATTAAGTTGAAATCATGACTTAAAATAGTAATTTAATATTCAACTAATTATTTTGTGGTAATTTAAATTTTTATCTTATATAAAAGAAACCACCAATTTATACCCGTGGATTGCATGGGCACTATACTAGTTATATAAAATATACTGTAAAATACAGATAACCCGATTTAATTTTAACTCTCTTGTAAATAGTCACCCTCATCTTTAAGAGTTTAAAAATAACACCATCAACTCTTATATTTTGACATTTAATACCTCGCTGTTAACATGTTCATTAAATCTAACAGAATAAATGTTACATCAGATTATTTAAAATTATTAGGCTGATGATATGTAATTTAGTCCAACTTAAAACTCATGATTACCCTAGAGGGTATCTTTGTATTGTATCAATAATAATCTCAGTTCCTAGTCTCGCCTAATCGTCTTGTTCTCAGCCTCTTCCATAAGCTGTGTTTGCCATCGTCGCGCACAACGCTACATCCGTCATATTCACACTTTCTTCCGACATCAATTTCTCTAAGTGATTGAAGATTTTGAATTAATGTTGCTGCCCCTTTCGATGAATTTCTAGGAAGTTATCTAAAAACAAAGAAATTAATAAAAGAAAATTGTTATATATAGATGCAGAATAAGTTGAGGATTTTATAGTTCAATACTCTATACTGGCAAAGCAAACCTGATGAAGTTGCGGCAGCGAATGAAGTCGGCAGTTGCGAAAATATCGTTGCTTGCATTCAAAGGTCATAACCAAGCGCGACAAGCCCTGGAACGGTATCATAAGAAAACAATTTCAAGGAAAAGAATCCAGATTTAAAGGAAGAATGTGATCAAGATGATTTTGGTTGGGTATATTTTTAAGAAAACATCAACCTTCAATTTCTGGTAAGTGCACGTTGATTATATTTCATCCTTACATTTAAACAAATGAAAATTAATATTCCTGTGCCTTCCACTGTGAAATATATGGATGATTTAAGGCCTTGTTTGGTACGGAGTAGGGACTAGGTAATTGAAAAAAATAATTAAAACAGTATTTACCATAAATAATTATTTATTACATGGGATTAAGCAAACTTATGAAGATAGAATTGGTGAATACCACCTCCTCCCATGGTATTTTCTAATCTCACAAACATGAGTTTGTCTAATCTCATATAATAAGTAATTATTTATGCTAAATATTGTTTTAATGATTTTTCTCAATTATAATCCTAGTCCCTATCCCTTATTTTTCAGGATATAAGAATAACTAATTAAGAACAACACATGCGTGTCAAGAAATAAAAAGTTGTTCAACACGTGTGGGGTTGGCTCTCGGAGTCGGAGCTCCCGTCCCTGTTGATGTGAGATGGTGGTCTCTGGTAATTGCAAATTTCTGTGTGTTCGAGGTAGCCAGGCTTCTGGAAACTTCATTGTTGCCTGTATTCTGTTTGGTGAGTTAGGTTTAAGAAATTCAATGGTTTTATTTGAGCTTGCAAAACTAATTAATCTTATATACTGTTCATGAATAATTTCTCGAGTTCAAAAGCCATATTGAAATCAATGTTGTTAATTTGTTATATTGTTTTGTGAAATGACACGACCCGGTGGCGTGCCTTCGTTTGATTACTTAACTTTAACTAAATTCATTTCCAAACTGGGAATCAACCGATTTTAGTGTAGTTCAGTTACTCATAACTATTTATGAATGTAGCCGTTGTATTCCGTTACACAGTTAGAAAGTTAATTAGCTCAATTCCGGCGCTCTTTCGCCAACATTTTCATCTGCGTATATACTATGCTCTTGATTCAAGTGGCTGTTAAAAAAAAAAAAGGCAATACAATTCCAGTCTTTCCCTATCATTTTATCCGTGCATACGCAGTAATAAGATGCGCAAAATATACATATATAACATCAAATAAAGATGGTGTTGGCAGCATATACCCTAAAATAAGGAGGATCACCCATAAATTCACCAGGACAAGAAGCCAATAACTTATTGCAGCTAATCTAAAATTAATCCTAAGTTTTGTTTGTGAAAGCAGCTTCAATTCAGGTTTTCTGTAAATGCTGTGAACTTGTCCTCCTTCTAGCAATCTTCTCTGTTTTGGTTGCATCAATAACCTACCATTTTACCCTTGAAAGTACAGCAATAATAGAAGAATATATAAAAGAGAGTGTGGGAAAAAGAATGAAAAAGAAAGAGCAGAGACAGGAAGAATAATAGGGATATTATTGATGGTGATATATAGACCAGTACTACTGGAGAGAGGGAGGAAAACAGAGAAAAAGTGAAAAGGAAGGAGTAAAGTGAAGTCAAGCAGGCATCCAAATAGAGGCAAAAACAACGTTGTGTCCTTTCCAGGTGAGAACAAGATGTTGGTCCTCCTTCTTCAATCCCCACCCAGCTGCATGCTCGTCAAGCATGGCCTTCGCCTCTGAAACACCGTCCTCACTTAGCCCAACCCCTTGAAACTTAGCATTCCTCATCCGTTGTTCCCACCTGCTCTTCGGCTCCACTCTCTCCACCCTCTGTATCCCTTCCTGTGCGATCACGTTCTCTATCTTCCAGCTTATATCCGCCTCGTACCATTGCCTTTGCCGGCTTCCTCGCGGTAAGAACGTGTCCACCGTGTCGTACGGTATCCACAGGTAGTTAAACGCAGACCTCAGCCTGCACACCAGGTCGTTCGATGTCAAATCCGCGTCTTCGTCCACTAAAACCATAATCGTCGGCTCTAAGCTCCGGACGGCTCTCAGAAACATGGATCGCAACGACGATGAGTCGTAAATGTAAGAGGACGAAATTGAATGGTCTGATTCTGGGGTTAGTGTGGATAGGGTTTCTTCGGAGATGTAATGGAGCATCATGTGACAGTTTATCACCAACGCTTCCCTCTTGTGCCCTTCCGCCGCCAAAACCATCTGTTGCACCCGAAGGTGTTCGATTAGGGCGGCGAACCCGTCTTTATAAGTGGAGGAAATCACTTTGAATTCCAATATTATGTTCTTGGACCTTGCGAAGCTCACCAACCTGGCGCCCAATTCGTCGTAGGAAAGGTCCAGCATAGGCGGGATGTCGTTATTACAACCAGCTACCGTGAGCTTGATTAAAGGAGGGACCTCGTGGCGGGTGGCGATAGCGTCGATGAGCGTGGGAATCTGCATGCAGTGCGTGGAGCTTAAGTCCACGATATGAATAACTGAATATCCCTCGGTAACTTCTAGAATGGCCGAGTTAGCCACGGTGAAGCCGAATCGGTGCCAAGGGGTTAAGTCTACGAAGTTGGCGAGCTCGATGACGGAGAAGTTGTGGACGTCCATAGCGGCGAGGTTGGTGTTAGCGTCCGCCACCACGGCAAGCATTTTGCAGCTGCCGGATTTAGCAGCACGGGCGGCGAGGGCGCGATTGAAGGCGGAGGCAAGGCGTTGATTGGAGTCGCCGTCGGGGGGAGCGATGTTGTTCAGAACCCAGAGGATTTGCTGCGCAAGAGTTACGTCGTTGGATTCGACGGCGTTGGCACAGTGAACAAGTAATTGTTCCATGCAATTAGCATCACCGAAGGAATTGAGGGCGGTGGAGGAAGGGAATCCAGGCCAGGGTCGCGTCCTAGGAATCTGATTATTCATGTTCATGGCAAGGCCGGAGAAAGGGGAGGTGATTTGGTGCAAAGAAGGAAGTGAAGGTGTGAATTGCGTCATTGATTGAGGAGGGGAGTGAGAGAGAAAGAGAAAGAGGAGCGGGGAATTAAAGAGAAAGCAGAGAGGAGGCAGAAAAAGAGAAAGTGACCTGACTAGAAGCAGAGGGTGAAAATATGTGGAAGAAGAAAAGAGGCAGTGGGAAGGGATCGAAGGTAAAAGAGACAGTTCAGCTTTATAGGGTGAGAAACTCTCATCCCGAAAAGACTCAGAGGAAGTCAAATTGGGGAAAAGAGACCATACTTAGAGGGAATTTCAGGCTTTATCAGGCGGGGTTAAAAACAGCCAAACGCTAAAGGGGCACAAGCTTTTCAAAATTAGAAAAGACTATAAACTAGCCTAGTTGGTGTGTGTGATACGTGAGGGGCGAAGGCCATTTTGGTGGCATGTGAAACAGCCGGCCACCCCTTTGTCTATACCTGGAGTTGGGATTTTGTCATGTTATGCAGTATTAGGGCACTGCTGGAATATTACTTTTATTTTACCTTCAACACTGCAACATTAATCGAAATATAGGAATAAAATAAAAGTATAAATTTAAATTCTTTAATTTCACTATGGATGATGTTTCAGATCCATATTGCCCCTGGAATCCAAATTCTTCTCTTAATAACCAACGAATCCAAATTATCTATTCTTTACTGGTTTTCTATATTCTATGTCGGTAGCCAACACAATCCACTTTTTTGGAAGGCAGAGATATGAGCATCCATTGACAAATACTTGTAAATAATATATCACAATTGTAGCATATTCCCTTATGACTCGATAGACATCAAATATGTATGAGAGGATTAATCTAAAAATAAAACGTAGCAGTTGTTCGTGAGAGATGACGGGAATTAGAATTATAGAGGGTCCAAAATGAACTTGGACATTTTCATTATTTTGTCTTTCTCGTCTTTAATAATCGTCCGTTTCCAACAAATCCTGGAGTGTAGCTGAATAGGATAATATACTAGCTACAGTTCGCGCTCGAATGATGTAACTATACACAAGCATGATTATATTTTATCCCCGGTACGAATCAGACCAAGAATGATAGAAGATGATTGAAAGATAAAGAATAGCAAGATTTGTGTGTGCTTCTGCCATGTTATATGAGTCCAACCAACATGTGGTTTCCTCAGGCTGCTGCTTTGACGTAATCAAATGAATAAGTTGGCACTTAAGGGGGGTTCTAGCTATAATGACATCCTATGCATAAAATGAGGGAATAGACGAAATCCTTTGGGAAAATATCACTGTTGTTTGTTTGCTGTGAGTTCTCGTATTTAACTTGTTTAATACATCTAAACCAGAATTTGAATTGCTTGTATTTTATCGAGCACGTTACCCCTACTGTGTGCAGCGCCAATACTACTGCATTACTTTAAACATTCTTCTCTCATTCTCTCTGTCTCTCTCCAACTCACTCACAAACAGGTAGATAAGAGCGCCCTTATGTATCTTTTATATGGCCTTATCCGAGAGGGCCAGTTTGAGAATAAGCCGCGGAAATTTTGACACGAAGAAAGGTATCACGCGTACGTATTTAGAACATTATGGCAAATTAGCTAGGCTTGCTCTCCACCACACGTGATATCTCATTTAATTCTCAAATCTCTTTTTGTGCTGCATCTGTTTCCTTTCCTGATTTTCTTATTTATTGTTCTATCTCAAGCTCATAAATTCCGCTTCCTAATATTCCCTGCGTGGTTTGGCACACATATATATATGTATGTATGTATATGTATATGGACATCACTTTCCGTACATTACAGTGATGCTTCTACGAGGCTAATCAAAAGGCTGCTTTATATACTCTCGAATCGACCACACGATTTAATTCTCGAAAGGGTCAAAGGGCCCACCACCTATCATATATATGCGCTGCTTGGTCTGCGAGAAATGGAAATTGAGAACTAAATGTAGTGTTGCCGAATCACGCATGGTCTCCGAGAAACCTCAAAAAGGCTCCGCCTTGTTTGTTTGTTTTTATTAGCTTGCTTTTGCTAACTAATTTTCACTGTTTCAGGCGTAGATGGAATCTCTCACAATCGTAAAGGTGAAGAACTTTTCTAGCACTTAATTATATGCTACATTATCTGTCATGACTAAATAAAATAATGTCATGATTATTTGTTCAATGACTCAGTTAGCCAAGGGAATGAGAAGAATCTGAAAGAAGCAAGTAAGGAGAACAGCAAAAGTTAAAGAAGTGTCATTATAATATCCGTGGATGAGAATTTTGAGGAGGATTCCTTTACTTAAGGTACAAGAACTAAAAGACATGCGGGATAAAGCAACATTGTTTGAAGCAGTTTTTTTGAATTTCTCGTAAGAGAATTTCTGTGAGCATTTGCTGTATCTGTTTTTCTATGATTAAAAACAACACTAAAAACAAAAATCGCAAGGCATGAAAGTAAGGAATGTATCCATGTGCTTTTGTATTCATTGATCTATAATTTTAAATTAAATTATACCGATATAATGAGCACGCTGGGTCAGGATTACGCTAGTTTTTATGAGTCCAACTTACCCAAAAGATATGAAAACCAAGGGTATAAAGACACAGACTTCGAATGTTGAGCTATAAATTACAAGGGACAGACACTCTTCTTCATCTTGTGAGCCTTACACTCGTCGATCACCATGTGATGTATTCGATTAAGGTCTTGTGGATTCAGAAATGTCCAACCAATAAAGTAGCGTAACCTTTTTATTGATTCTCCTTGTGGATATGCTTATATTATATGTTGTGGTCCTGTTTTCACTTGGCTTTGCATGGTGACTTAATTTGATCCACAATACATACACACATCTATATTTAAATCTTCCACTATTATTATAAAGGTCGGGTATGTTCTGTTCCCGTTAAAGTGATATGTAACTTTTAACAATCAAGTTGTCCCCGTTTAAGATTTTGTCAATGTAAAGACTGCCCACATTGTATTTTCGGAATAAATCATCCTTATGCTTTTCAAACTATGACTTGAATTCTTGGTTTTGTACGTAGTAGCTCGCTTTCTGCAGTTGCTGAAGGTACATAGTTACTGTAGCGACAGGTGAATCACACAAACTCCTGCATCTGAAACTTGACAGCATTTGGATAGATAATGCATGTGATATATATGGACTAAGTCTGATCTCGGTGACAAGTTCTCTAAGTCAGTATTTCACCAAGCTCAGATTAATCCTCTCCAGAATGAATTTGTTAATCTGAGGCCAAATCAAAAATTTTATTTGTTATCCTTCTTCTTGCTCTTGCTAAGTTAGTAGGACTCCCGGAATCCAGCAAGAATGTAGATATTATATCATTCGGTTTTTGGGAGGATTGAACGATCAGCACATAGTATAAATGAAGACAGAAATAATGCTGATGGATGCCACGCCTCCAATTAATCAGGTTTATTTGGCAAGAGAGAAAAATGAATTGTGCTTTGGAATCCAAGGTCTAGTGAAGCCCTCATATATATATGAACGGTAAGAATCAAATCGAGGGGGGGGGTGAAACTGGTACAAAGTTTTGTTTATATTTCAATTAATAAGGCCGACCCGACAAACTGAAAATATGCTATAAGATGCATAGTTGTTCTCATATAGTTTTAAGACCACAAGTCAAGTTGCATATGTCCACAGCCTCCCCTCTCATGAACCTGCTACAAAAGGATCTTCCTGCCCCTTCACATCAGTTTCGATTCACACGTATCAGAAATTAATTACTTTGAACTTTTTATAACGTAGCAGTCAGTTAATAAAGATCAAACAGTCAAACCCCCCAAAGCATTCCCAACAAAAGCATAGCCAATGGAGCTCAAGAACTGAGAAACCACACACAATAATCGGATCTAAACTCAACGTGTATATGTATACAAGAACTAAAAAGACATATAAACAGGTTTTATTATTAGGGAGAATTACGATGAGGTCCTAATAAAGGAAAATAATTATAAAACAAGTGCTAGAAATTGTCATTTTCTACTCTAAAACTTATCATTACAGGCTATTCAGGTTATTATTGAAACTTTTTAATAATTATTTTCCTTCTTAAGACCTCATTATTATTATTGTTGTTGATGGTTTTTAGCCAGAATAAAGCAATTTTGTTTAAAGCGGTTTTTATTTTTTATTTGGAATTTCTCTTACGTAAGAGAATTCTCTGAACAGTTGCTGTACATGTTTTTATATGATTAAAAACGAAACCAAAAACAAAACTTGCAAGGAATGGATCCATGTGCTTCTGGATACCCATGCACGTTGTTCTTTGTGCTAATTTTAAATTACTGATAAAATTAAATGAGCACGCAGGGCCAGGACGCTGGTTTTTAGGAGCCTAGCTTACTCAAAACATAAGGAGGCCAAAGGTTAGGAGAAAAAATACGAATGCTGATGAACCAAATTACAGGTTCACGTTAAATATTCAAAATGTTATTCAGAAATGTCCAACCAATCATATAGCCGAGGCCTTTCTATAAATTATGTTCATATGCTTACATTAATGTATGCTGTGGTCCTGTTTGTAGTTGATCGCATGTTGATTTAATTTGATCCACAACGTTGAGATTTTAAACTTATACTTGCAAGTGGCACTATTCAAATCCCTTCACATGGGAGTACATGATCAAGCCTTTTATTATTGAGATGGAGCATATTCCGTTGTATGAATCTGAAACTTGTAATCATGATTTTATCTTCTACTTGAATTTTGTCGATCATGGTTGTTATAGTGATTTTGAAAGATTACTCACATTTATGAGAAGCACTGTACTGTTGGGATTTGTGCTCTATATGAAGTCGAAGAAAAATCGCATTATTTATAGTTGACAAATATTATACAGTACAACTTCTTGTAAATGTATATATACCATATCCAATGCTATCTACTACTAAATATGGGTACCCTTCTCAATAAAAATTTGAATATTAATCGTGTTACAAAAAACTAGTTCCTTATACTAAACTTATGAGGTTTTTGGATTATCCTGAAAAGTGATTCTCAGAAGCACTTTTTCGCAAATCGA